TTTATTTATAAAATAAATATGTTAAATAAAATACCTAGAACTTAAATTGTTATAAAACTTTCAAAATTATTTTGTAAAAAATATTATAAGGAACTAACGAATTTAAGAGTATATATTTGTTAGAATGTAACAAATAACTTAATATCTGAGATAAACTCTTCAACTAGATAACTTATTAAGAATACTTCGTAATAGCATCATTTAAAATATTTCTCATCTTTTCAATTATCTTCTTCATTACGACGAGATTTTCATCCAAAAAAATATGAAAACAAATGTTAATCATATAAGAATAAAAATGGTGATATTAAGGATATAATCTAATAAAATGAATATAACTTGGATTATGCGGAGATTTCAAAATGATAACAAAACTTAATTGTTTTCATATTTATCTAAATGAGTACTATCTTTTAATTTGAAATTAAAATAAATAGAAAGAAAATATTGTTTGGTTTATAAATTTCAAATTAATATTTTTGCCTATCATATCTAACTATAGTTGTATTTAATCAATATTACTTTATTTATATATTAAAAACAAAAACTAAATTCTCATTGTTTCCCATATGTTTTGGCATATACTTTTATTTTTATATATTAATCTTCCTTTACTATATATATGAGTCATATTATGTTCTCTACTATGAATATAACTTTAGTTTAATATATATAAGGGTCAAATTTTCATTTGTTATATAGTTTACGGGCAAAAATTCATTTGTCATATGTACTGGAATAAGTTAATTTTTTTTTAATATGTTCATCTTCTATTGGTCAAAAAATATTTAACAAGTTACAAATGGGTTGAACAAATAGATTTTTCATTTCTATTATGAATTAACAAACGGGTTAATAGTATTATTAACAGAAAACAGTTCTGCACTATCAAAGTGTGGATAAATATCTAGACTAATATATTGGAAACATATATATGTGCCAAACTCGACTGTCTTAAAATAGGATTGTGCCATTGAAATAAATATATTTAATATTTAATTTATTAGATATAGTTATTATTTAGGAACACTATTTTCCTCCCTATTAATAAACCTAACAAATACTATTTGTTATTAAATGAATATTTGATTGAAAGCATATATTCTTATTTGGAGTATTTATTTTAGAAAGTGAATCTTTGTTTATCAAGTAACAATAAATATTTCACATCATAAAATGAAGTTTTTATAATTAAACTTCTTAAATTTTTGGTTACAATTAAAATCAAATAAATACACCAAATTATGATTCTTTCAATATATATATATATGTGTGTGTGTGTGTGTGTGTGTGTGTGTGTATGTGTGTGTTGTTAAATAATTAAAATTTTATGCATAAAATGTTTTTTGAATGTAAAAGTTCAAAATGAATATGTCAACCTATTTTTAATATACATAAAACCATATCTAACATATTCCTTCTACATCACGGTTTCTACCAAGTAAATAATAGCTATCATAAAAAAATAAAATTTAAGTCTAAATTAAAAATAAAACCAGTAATAAATTATCAATAATAAAAATTAAAGAATACTGAAAAACGAGTAAAATATTTTGGTGTTCTCTATCGCCTTTTTTTTATCAGACAACATATTACTTCTTTTAGTACAAAATCACAAATCAAATATACTATTCAATTTCATGTACTCATTTTAAAATATATAAAATTTTGATCAATTTTTTAGATCACCAATTTTATCTTAGTTTTACGCGGGTCAATCAGTGCTAGGTGACATGTTACTAACGGATTTTGTATTCTTACCAAGTTTTATCAAAAATTTAAATAGCGGTGAATTAGTTAAATCCGAACTGAAATATATACATATCACTAAGTTTAGTTGCTCAATCTCAAACCCGTGTCGAGTATGAAAATACTGCTCAACACAATTATAAATGTATTAAGTTGCAAAATTTCAACACATGTAATTATATAATTATCAAATCTTTGTTTCGTATAAATCAATTTATAAAGAAAATATATCCCGCTCTTGAAAAGATATGTGGTAGTCGCATGTCCAAGATATATTAAAGAGATATTGTCGGTATATTTGTGTTGGGCTTGGGTCGTTCGTTAATATGATGTATTGATTTATTTACGGGCTTGCAATAATCATTCGCAGTTGTATTTTGAATTTTTATGTTATTTTCTTATATAATTGTTTTGTTAATCATATTTTTTTTAACACATACCGTCTATATAATACAATGTCAATTTTTATGACCATAATTTTTAAAATAAACAGTCTGTTGTATCTCTATTTGTTTTATATGAGAATAATATCAACCAAATTGTTTATAATAATACCCTAAAATTATTTATTTTTTATAAAAAAATAAGTTTGAACTCAAAATATAAACTATTACAAATCAATACTTTAGATTATCGAATAGAACTCATAATTTCATCGGGTCTCTAAAATTTATTATCTAACTAAAACGAATAAGAAAAATAATCTTATACCACACATTAAATTGTATGTAATCGTAGTTAATCTATATATGTTGGACCAAACCAAAATTATTAACGACAATCTATCTGAACCCGGATACTCGTGTCTATACATACTTGTGAATAATCAAACAAAGACATAAATTTAAAGCAAAAATGGTTGTCCATCTTTTAAAATCATAACATAATGGCTCAAATTAATTACTCTTTGTCAATTTAATTACTGAAGATATACAAGATAGATTGTTTTTACGGGGTTACTTTTCCAATTGGTTATATAGTTACTATCGATATTTTTTTCTTTATAACAGCTACATAAACAGCAATTTAAATGCCATTTTAAATGATAAAATTTATATTTTCTTATTTAATAAAACTTTCAAATCACAAGCTATATAAACAACTATTTTAAAAAACTTTTAAATGACAAAACTATATTTTTATTAATAAAATTTTCAAATCTCAATTTAATTATCTAATATTAGACATTTTATGTTTAGTTTACCAAGTAAAACAACTCAATACAATATAAGAAGAATACAATCTCATACTTTAAAAATTCACACTCAACAAAATAAACATGATACATCAATGTATAGTCTCAATAAAATGAAACAATAACATCAATGTTTTTAAGACATGTAAAAACATATTATCACATCATACACCCGTGCGGGCGCGCGGTCAAAAGCTAGTATTTAAATATTTTTGTTGTAATTCGTTAAGTCAACGAATTTCACTTTATTTCTAACTATTGTGCATTTTACTGCATTTATTATATAAATACATAAGATTTAAAATTTTTAATTGTTCCTTTGAAAAGTAGTTAAATAAACTTCATTTCAGATAAATATATTAATATATGTACTTATAAATGTATTGTAGTGAAAAAAGTTTTTACTATATTTTTAATAAATATTTGAATGATAATCTTTTTTTGATTATTAGGACAGTTAAATATCTTTTTGCTATTTACTGTAATATAACTCAGCATAAGCACATTCTGTTTTAAGTTATTTCATAAAAGTATGTTAGGTATATTACGTGAATGATGATATGGACACATATCGTATGGCCTTTCAGTTTTGTTTGATGCTGAAGTGTGAACTTATAATTAAACATTCATTTTTTTGTTAGGTTTTTTAATTAGTATAAATAAATGAGTACAAAATTTAGTCCTGAAAAGCAAGAATGTTTTGTTAGGTTTTTTAATTAGTAGAAATAAATGAGTACAAAATTTAGTTCTGAAAAGCAAGAAGCAAGTTTAAAACTATCTAATTTTTGTAAAAACTTTTCAAAAGCTATCAAAACTATTCAAATGATCTGGGGTGCTATATCATAAGGTTGATCTTTACACAAAGTAAAGAAAGATGAAAAAAATGATTTCAGAGAGAATTTTAGGTTTAATTTGTCTTCTCAGCTGAGATGATGATTACCACCATATAGATCAAACCAATTTTATTATAAAATATATCCAATAGTAAAAGTTTAATTTGGAATATCATATTTTTTAAAAAATCGTTTAATGTTTACATATTTTGTTGACAAAAAACTTATCGTAATAAGAGTTTATATATATATATATATATATAAACGTTATTTATAAAACCACTGATAATAAAAAATTTCTCATCATTTTTAAGAATATAGAAAATATTTATGAATATTAACAGATTTTAAGTTATTTATAATTAAAAAACTGAGAAATATTTAGAAAAATATATTTAAATGTAGAAAATCTAACTAAATACTAATAAATAATATTTAAGTTTTAAAAATTATTACTAATTAAAATAGTTTTCTTAAAAAGTTATCACCAAAAGTTTACATTCAATTTTAAAATATCAAAATATATTATTGCATACCAAAAACATAAAAATATTATATCAAAATTATAATTAAATTTATTTTTATCCACAAATTTGCGGAAAACCACCTAGTTATCTCTTAAATAGATACCTTCCTTTATCATATTTTTTTGTTGTGTCTAATGGAGTGCATTTGTAGTGTTTGGTTGAGTACAATGTGTTCTGTTCTCCTTTCATAACATTTATTTGTGGGTATTTTCATTTACACTGAAAATCTAAGGGCATCATTAACCATAGCACTCCTAATGGGGTGCTTAGTCATTTTTAGTAATAATTATGTTTAAAGAATTCAAATTAAGCAACTTCTAAATTTTGATTCTCCAATGCAAGTTGCTTATTTTGGGGTGCTTTGAAAAAAAAAATGTATTAAACACTGTTTTATATAAGATAAATTTTATTTATTATATAAGATAAATTTATGGTGTTTGAACTAAGTGTTTTTGGATGAAATTGGTTTTTCGATTTCACAAAAACAAAAAGAGAGTGAATGGTGTTTTTGGATCAAATTGGTTTTTAGATTTCAAATTAGTGTTTGATAAAAACAAAGAACACGAAGGAATGCTGTTTGATCAATAACAAAGAACAAGTTTGAATGGTATGAAATGAGACACAAAGAGTGAATGGTGTTGTGAATATTACTTTGGTGTTTACAAACATTATATAGACACAAAGAAAAAGAGAATCTTACTTTTTCTTGTCGATGGTTGGTATATCACTCTTCTCAGCCTTCTCAACAATCACCTGCATCCCCCCCACAACAGATAAAAAACGTGCGACAATCGTCAACCTCAAGTATCCATTTAGTTTCAATCATATGAAATTATAAAGCACCTAGCAATATGATTTATGCAAATCAACGCATGAAGTCTTAAACGTCACCAAGCACTGAACAAATCAAAGTCCAAATGTTGTAATAGACAACTACAATTCAAGCAGCACCATGCAATATGTGATACAGCGTCAAACATATATATATATATCACAAGTATGAAGCTAATCAGGTAAATAGTAACATGATTACCAAGTGTTAGTTAGATGAACAGTTAAAGCCAATATGCTATCTACAAAACCTACGATACTGTAGGTGTTGGGCCATGAAACAGAACAGCATCTAATGCTGCATCAGCTTAGTGAAACACAAAGGATTGGTCTGAACATGGATGCTAATCACATATAACAGCACTAGGTATGTGTAAGGAAGGGATCAACTGATCAAGGTATGAGAAAAAAACACTGACGCTGTCACCGGAATCCTATCAGGATCCTTCTCTCTAATCCCAGCAGCCTCTGCGCTCCTCTTCTCTAAAGGTTTAAAAATAACAGGTTCATCATTAGATCAAAAAAAGTAAAGGGCTTTGAGAAATCAAACACCAAAACAAGAACCAAACCTAGGTCATGCTCTTGCTTGAAAGTGCTTTTCGCCATTACTTCTTCCACACCCCACAGAAGCCAATCAGACAACAACCCATCATATCTCTTAGTTACGCCAGGGTTTATAGAGTTCAGCAACTATAATCTAACATACCCATGGATCAACAGAAAACTCTTTTCAACTCAGACATAGAGACTCTCCTAAAGCTAACATACTCCAACCAAAATCGATTGATCAACATAGAAAAAAACCCAACCTTTAGTAATCTAAACGACGTACGGTATCTTGATAAGTTAAAAATCGAACCTGTTGATTGCAAAGACGAAAGCTTTTCTTCGATCAAAACCAGGGCCGGCTTAACTTTGCAGGGACCCTAGGGCAAATTTTTTTTTTTTGACCTTTTAAAATTTTGTTTTTTACAATTTAACCAGTAATATTTTATATAGTTTGTGATGGAAAATAAAACTATGTAATATTAAAATATTATTGCCCCCTTTTCAAGATTAGTTATTAAAATTTTAATTTTTTCTATATAAAAGTTTGTATTTATAAAAAAATTGGACCCCTTAATCATTGATATATGAGGGACACGGATTATGACCCGGGGCGGTCGCACCGTTTGTCCCCCCACTTAGCCGGCACTGATCAAAACACGGAGTCCCAAAGGAGAAAAGGAAAGAAGCAGAGCCGTCAAGGGAGAGAAAGAGAGAAGACGCGTCTAATGACACATGTCCACAAGCACCGTTTGTTATTTGCTTAATTAAGCACGGCTAATATTAATACATTATTTTCTTTTTCTTTTAAAATCCGAAAATCATTAAGCACTCCTCTAAACACTTGCAAAATGTATACTATGCGTGCTGTGAACACAAAGCGATGACACTGAAGGGCACATATGGTTGAAAATATTAAATAAAAACAATAGCAATTAAGTATTCAAGAATTAAATTTGAGGAATTAGGATTTAGCACAGCTACGATCCTCAACTGTACATTGATGTCTCCTCTATGGTCATATGCAGACCACTAGAAAGCATAAGTAGAATGATTCATGCCGCCTAGAAACTCCTTTCTCTCTGTTCCCTTGTTTTGTGTTCCTACGCCCTAGTTTTGGCGACTTTGCTCGAGTTGGAGGAGGCTGTACACAATCATAATGAATATTATTAGTTGACAGCTCCAAAAGAGTTTCAAAAGTTTAACGGTCACGACTCTCTTTTTTGGAATGTTGTAGACAACCTTGTGTTACCTTCTTAAGTTCAACTTTTGGAGGAGACCATTCATGGTAGAAGTTTGGCATTGGGTTTGCTTTGAACATCAAACTCTTTCTTAATCGCCTAAAGGCTGCATCGTTCTCTTCCTTGCCTTCCTTGTTCCTTGCTTCGCTCTGCGTTTTCTCTGCCTCCATGAATTGGTGTTTCTCCTCCATTTTTGTATAGAACTAAACTGAATAAAAGAGGGAATAATATGTCACGTCCTTCCTTTTCTCTGCACGCACGGTGGATCAAGACAAAGGAGCTGCAATGACAATAGTTCTTGATTTAGCAGACTTTGCAGCCGACGTGGCACTGTCAACAATAGAAATGGTTTACACAATTGTAAGTTGAAAATAAACCATTTTAATGAGAATGAAACATACTAAGAAGCAACCAAGCAAGAGTCTTCCTCCTCATCAGAAAGCTTCTTGTTCTTTGGCTGCAATGCTTTCTTTGGTACCTAGTGATATACCATGATTTTGACCCACTTTTAACCATGGTATTGATATGTTTTTATAAGTTATATATATGTTTTGGAGTCTATAAGGTATGTTTTCAAGTTCATGAGCATTTTTTGGAGTAAAGTGATGATTTAGGTCCCCTTATGGAGCTTAAAGGAGAGTTTTCCGAGATGACTATGAAGATCAGACAACAAGGATACATATCGATCGATACACACCATGTATAATCGATCGATGACGCTTCTATTGAAGATGAAGTCGAGATACTCCATCGATCGATGTACACCCTGTACCATCGATCGATATCAAGCGTGAAGAACAAGTCTAACTTGACCGACTTGAAGCCCAAGTTTTCCCAATATTACAAGATCGCCCCTGACGAGTTTTTAACCTAACGGAACTCATATTTATAGTTACGCCTATGTGTTTTGGCTATGTGTGCTCTTATGTTTTGAATACCTTTTGTTACTTCTTAAGCTTTGCTTGTTTTTTTAATTTAAGTATTCTTTTCATCTTAATTCTCAAAGGTTATAGAATTCTAGATTTAGAAGAAACACACAAAGAGATCTGTTGTTCTAAAGAACTAAGAGTTCAGTTTTCTAATCTTATGAATCTTTATTATTACCTTGCTGTTATGAATCTCTTAGCCATGTCTGAGTAGATTCCTTTGTTAGATTTAGGGTTCAAATAATTATGAGGGATAAGCCCCAACTATGGAATGTTGAGTTGTGATATTCATTATCCAAATGAACCCTAATGCTTACTCTAGAGTAGCTAACCATAGTATGATCATGGAGTGATTTAACTTGTTAATCATTATCCTGAAATCATTTTGCATAAGCTTAGATCCTCTAGGGATGTGCGAGAGCCGGTCTATGATCTTGGTGAACACAGTTTCGATTAGATCTTATGCTATATCGATCGATACTCCTATAGAGTTATCGATCGACGGCAACCCATATCGTCCGATATCGCTGTCAAACCATCGGTCGATATTGCCAACAATAAGATCAATAGATGAGTCTATTTAGCGACTGCTGTTGGATCTGTCTAAGAATCGAAGTTCTTATATATCTTGCAAGCAACTTAGTAAAACACCAGTAACATTATAATCCCGATTATCTGAATATCAACCTTGAATCTAACTACTTTCTTTTATTGTCTTAAACCAAAACATATTCTCTTGAGCAACTTATCATTGCTCACAAATGCAATTTACTATTTTAAACTTAATCAACCTAGCATAATCACTTAGGGTTACATCTTTTGTGTTCCTCAGTTCCCTGTGGATTCGATCCCTAAGTACTACAACTGAACCTCTTATTTGAGAGAGTAATTCACTCCTTAGGGTTAAATATTTGAGTGATATCACCTACAGTCGAAAAAATCCATAGGCATTACATCCAAGCTAGACAAAGAAACTGTGATTCAAGAAAGTATATATATTGTTGGTGTCGAAAACCGTAATCTCGAAATCAACGTCTACGATAACTTCTGTAAAAATGGAATCATTACTTTCCGCAAAAATCGTTTTATAAAACTCGAAAATCGTTTTATAAAACTCGAAGATCGTTTTATAAAAGCTCGAAGAACCGTTTTATAAAACTCGAGAATCATTTTATAAAACTCAAGAATCGTTTTATAAATTTCGAGAATCATTTTATAAAACTCGAGAATCGTTTTATAAAACTCGACGGTCCTTTTATAAAAACTCGAAGAACTGTTTTATAAGACTCGAGAATCATTTTATAAAACTCGAGAATCGTTTTATAAAACTCGAGAACCATTTTATAAAACTCGACGATCGTTCTATAAAAACTCGAAGAACCGTTTTATAAAACTCGAGAATCGTTTTATAAAACTCGACGGTCGTTTTATAAAAACTCGAGGAACCGTTTTATAAAACTCGAGAATTGTTTTACAAAATCGCAAAAAACCAAAACCGCCGCAAAACGCGAACTAGTCACGACTAGTTCGCCTGCTGGCGAACTAAGCCGAGCTGGCTTAGTTCGCCAGCAGGCGAACTAGGAGCCTCTCCACTAGTTCGCCTGCTGGCGAACTAGGAGTCCCTCGACTAGTTCGCCTGCTGGAGAACTAAGCCAACTCGGCTTAGTTCGCCTGCAGGCGAACTAGGAACACCCTGACTAGTTCGCCTGCTGGCGAACTAGAAGCTCCTCGGACAGCTGGACCGGACCGACTCGATTCTCCGTACGCTGAACCGATCATCCCGAGCCTTGATCTCCCGCATCCCTGATTCGAAACTTACGCCCTTCGACTTGGTCGCATTCTGAACCACGGCTGAAATGTCTCTCGTTTCGTCTCGACCTGACTTATCGTTCGAGTTTTACGATAAAAATCGTAAAACTCCGCTTTCTTGAAAAGAACTCAAAGAAATCGTATAAAACGGTAACGGTTAAGCAAGACACCGAACATCGCCCAAACTATACGATTTATCTGAGATTTTTCGATAAGATCATAAAAAATGCGTTTTTAATAAAAAACATCGAGAAAATCGTAAAAAACGGCATCGGATCAGGAAACGATCTCGTATAAAATCATAAAACGGTTTTTATCATAAAACGGTCCGAAAGGTCCTAAAACACGATAAAAACCCATGTCGCGATATTAACGAAATCAAACCCGAAGATACGATGACGTTTGACGGTTTATTCGCAGAAGGGAAATAAAAGGCAAGTTTGAAGACAAATAGAAGATTTCCGCGGGAAGAAAGGAAGGATGGAGATAAAAGGAAGTTTCCCGATAAACTCGAATCCGGGCAAAATGGAAAGATTGAGTCGCTTGGGAAAGGAGTATATAAGCCAGAAGCATAGGGAAGAGGAGAAGGACGAAAATCAGACCTAAAAAAGGCGGCTGTTAGCTTAGGAATTTAGGACTTAGCGTTTAGACTAGAATCCAAATCCTTAGAACGTTTCGACGTCTAAGTTCTTCAATTCTCCTTGTAACAGTTGTCGATTTCTTATTCAATAAAAGCTTTCACACAAATTCTTTATTCTCTGTTCTTCGTTATTCATCCATATTCTGTTAATTTCGTTTTGTTTTTGTGATTTCCCCAGAGATCCAGTACCTCGGGAAAATTAGGGTTTCATCCTAAGTTTCCATATTTGACGGAAAATCGACAGTGTGGATTTCGGTTCCCACAGTTTGGCACTAAAAGGAGGGGGAGGGTCGGTTTCTCTTACAAAATAGTCGCTAAAACGAATGAGAAATAACATGCCTAATCTGAACGGCGACGTCATCTCGTTCGAGAAAAGAGCAACGATCGATTCGATCAAACCTCTCAATGATCTTCTCGTTATTGAACTGACGATGCAGAATATGGATGTCGCGAGAATATTAGTCGATACCGGAAGCTCGGCTGATATCATCTTCAAAAATACTCTCGAGAGAATGGAAATCGATCTGTCTGAAATCGCGGAAAACGTAAGCCCACTAGTAGGACTCTCGTGAGAAATCACCATGACCCTCGGAACGATCAATCTGACAGTTCGCGCCGGGAGCATAGTGAAAAACGTCGAATTCGAAGTCGTCGACCGACCTACGTCTTACAACGCAATCGTAGGGACACCGTGGTTAAATTCGATGCAAGCGATTCCGTCGACGTACCATATGTGTCTCAAGTTTCCGACTCCTTGCGGGATCGAGACTATATGGGGAAATCGGAGGACCTCACAAGTTTGCTACGCCGCGGATTTAAAACGAAAAAATCTGCCGGTTGATATCTCTTCCAAAAAGAAAAAGAAGTTGACGTCCCTCGACAACGCCCCAGAGCAAGATAAAACGGAACTCTTCTGGCAGTTGCGAGCGGCCGAGGCTTTGGAAGGTAAACGCGAGCCAACCTGCGAACCCGTCATCTCAGTATGCATCGACGAGAATTTTCCAGAACGCTGCGTCGAAATCGGTGCGAACCTGAGCGAGACCTTAAAAGTCGAACTCCTGACATGTCTGAAACGAAACTCGAACACGTTCGCTTGGAGTGCGGAAGATATGCCGGGGATCGACATAAACATCAGATGTCACGAACTTAACGTTGAGCCAACATCCAAACCCGTCAAACAAAAAAGACGAAAACTGGGGCCAGAACGCGCCGAAGTGGTCAACAGCGAAGTCGATAGACTCCTCAAAGTAGGATCGATCACGGAAGTTCGATATCCCGACTGGCTCGCCAATCCCGTCGTTGTAAAGAAAAAGAACGGAAAGTGGCGAGTTTGCGTCGATTTTACCGATCTCAATAAAGCATGTCCAAAGGATAGTTATCTGCTGCCACATATCGATCGCTTAGTCGAGGCAACCGCAGGAAACAAACTCTTATCCTTCATGGACGCCTTCTCAGGATACAATCAAATCATGATGAATCCTAACGATCGGGAGAAAACCGCATTCATAGCTGATCGCGGAACTTATTGCTATAAAGTAATGCCTTTCGGCCTTAAGAACGGCGGTGCGACCTACCAATGACTCATCAATCGCATGTTCGCCGAACAACTCGGAAAAACGATGGAAGTATACATCGACGATATGCTCGTGAAATCACTCGAAGAACAAGATCATTTCGTGCACCTCCAAGAATGTTTCGAAAGGCTCAACCTTCATAACATGAAGTTGAACCCTGCGAAATGCCGATTCGCTATCGCATCCGGAGAATTTCTAGGGTATCTCGTCACTTACCGCGGGATCGAGGCCAATCCGAAACA